ATATTGTTTAATAAAAATTCATGTATTTTATGTATGATATCAAATTTCTTAAATTCATTTATTTTACTTTTAATTAAGTCGAATAATATTCACCATTTTACAAAATACAGTGGCACATTATGTTAAGTGTAAAAAAATGGTGAAAGAGATAGATTATTAACACTTAAAGAAAGAAAGAGAAATTATAACCATTCCATTATTGCTATATTATTCTTCATAAATCAGTTATTTTAAAAATTCATAAGAAGCATTTAAAACATGCTTTTATAATTGTAATTAATTTTACAAAAATGATATATACATATTATATATGTAATGATATATACTTTTCCAATATTAACATTGAAAAAATATATATAGATTATATATGATTAAGAGAACTTTAAACATTGTAAAATTCGGTTTTATTTTTTGCTTTTAAAGAGAAGTATTGATTTAAGTTAAGACATTTTATTAAACTAAAGACTTGATATTAAAGCAGCTAAAAGCAATTTGTAATAATTGCGGATAATTGATCATTATAAATGTTGTAAAAGACGTACAACGATGAACTTATATATCTCTGAAATCCGTCCCACTTGAACATATCGACAAATTATGTAAAAACATAATTAATATATTGTATACTTTTATATTCCGTTTGAAAATACTTAATATCTGTAAATGAACAGAGCTGTTCTACTTTTATATTATACGAATGTAAAGCACTTTTATATTATTGTTACAGATGTTATAAATAAAGATAAATACATAATATGTATGTTTTTTTTGGTGAAGGTATAGTTGTATTCTTGTGAAGAGCCTTTCATTAAAGTAAATTAACTGCTGCACATAAAAGCATATTGCTTAGTTTTAATTGCTTAAATATACCTTATGTGTATAAATATTTTTCTAAAACATAGGTATTTGTCACTAATCACTGACTAATCAAGGGATGTTCCTTGCATGCAGCTGGACAAATGGCAATACACTTTGATATTTTATCTCAACCATATTTTGTGAGCACATGAAAATTATTCATTAAATGATACAACTGTAAGTATTGTTAGATCTCAATTTTTATCATATGTACTTGAACAAACATATTGCACATAATGGAGGCACAGCTTTATTTGCTTTAAATGTTGTTTATGAGTGTTCTATAATCATAAAAATCAACAGAATAGAAACTTTTTAAAATAAATCTTTACTTACTTTAGTTGTATTGTAGTTTTATATTGTTTAATCAATTTTTACATTTATTAATTACAATTTTCCGCGTGATTTTTTCAGGATATCCACCTGGCTTTACATGGTGTGCTTACCTTAATGATCCATTATTAGTTAGGTATGATATTACTGTAGGAATCCTTAATTAACAGTGTCAATAATTTAATCAATGCACAGCAGTATTTCTAAAAGCATTTGTAAAAAGAAGAACCATATCAATATCTATTATTCTACTTTGTGATAGTTATTTTTAATACTTTTAAGACAGGAGCACAAACAAATTTATATCATAGTAAAAAGGATTTAAAAAAATTTAATTTTATGTATAATTGGTAAGAGTACTTTTTTAATATAAGGTAATAAATTACTTTGTATATTGTGATATGTATTTAAATATCTGCAAAGTATAAATGTCACAAACATAAATGAAGTTTAATTAACATCTATTAATGCAATTGTAGTGCCTTTCCATTGCCTGTAAATATTACAATGAACTTGTTTAATACTATTAATTGAAGGATTTATATTATTACCTAAAGATTTATATTATAAGCATTTGATTATATATCATATTCAATTGTATGTGCCAATAATTGTATCATATGTATACACACACACACGCGCGCGCACACATAAATACATATATACATACAATGTAAAAGACAATTATTGCAACATTTATTTTTGTACAATGTTATAACATTAAGAACATTTTGCATAAAAAATTACGTTTATACAAATTAGAATATTCAGATTGTGTAAGATTATTTTGTATAATTAGTTCTTTTATCCAATGACATTAATGATTAGGATATTATGAAATTAAAAATAATTTTATATTAAAGTTTTCTTCTAATAAGTATTTATTACATGACATCAATAAAATTTATAAATACAAAAAGTTATGTTATTAATGCAGCTTGTGCTTGTTTTTTAATGTCATCTGCAAGTCTTTTTATTTCTTCATTATCTGTCCTTAATTGTTGTTCCTTTTTTTCAAGAGTAGTTTCTAAATGTCTCAACTGTTGTTTTGTATTTAAATAGATTTTCACTTTCTGATATGTATCAGAAGTAGTTACATTCATTGAATTTTCTCCAGAAATTTCATCTGAAAATAAATTCTTATTTCCATATGAACTAATATTAATACATGTTAATACTGAATTAGATACAACAAAGTATGGAAAATTAAACTTAAAATGAGGTTATAATTTGAAGCAGTTTTTGATATTCCTTTTATTATTATAAATTTATAGTATTGTAAATTGTAAGACCTTTATTTATTATTTTAAATGCAATATCATCCATGGAGGCATTTGTGAGATCCTCTAACATATGTTCAGAATCCGGAATATGAGGTCTCGGTGGTAAATTATTTTTTTTATTACTAAACATACTTAATTTTATGATATATTTATTTTACACAAATATTTTTCTTAAGGCTGCTGTTATTTTATGTACACATAAGTATGTTAAAATTCATACAATATGAAGTAAATGTAATTAATAAGGAAATATATGATCAAATCGCGTAAATTAACTTTCAGAAAACTTCAAAATTGAAATACACTAAATGCACTTGCAACGGAAACTTGAGGCTTCCATCTGTAATTCACATAAAGAGGATATTAATTTTTCAATTTTCAGTAAAAGTTATAAACAATTTAATCTACTGCATTCAATTGTTAATTCAATGCGAAATTAATAAATTAAGCTGTTTTATTAAGTTGCATCATGCAACCAATTTATATAATACTTCTAATAGTTATAAACTACTATCTAAATTGTTATTTAACAAGGAACACGAAGTATTCTATAATTAAAATACTTGATTAGAAGTATTGATTTAAATGATTAGAAGTATTGATTTTAAACTGCTTACTACATGCAACTATGCTCTAATGTACAACAACTATTATTAAAAGCGAAAAAAATAAAGAATTTCTATTTTAAAGATCAACTAACCTCATAATACTTCATTTCTGACGATGCCCTCGACAACACTTCCCCCTTGAACGCTGAAGGCAGACTGAGTAGACCAATCCCTCTGATTTTTTTTAGAACATCCAAATTAAACTCTTCTAATGAAAGACTACGTGATTGATAATGTTCCTCCCGTTAAAAGACTATTCGATTTAAAGTATGGAGCCTGAGACAATGTTTTTAATCCCCGATAATAATTATTTGGAATAATTGTTGTTAATGTACTCCTTCCTTTAGTACTATGACGTCCCTGGGTGCCTTGAACTCCTTCGCAAGTGGATACTAATGAATCTTTTAAATTCCCCAACTGAGTGATTCGGCCATTAGATTCCAGATGTCTCACTAATCATCTGTATGCTACACGCCTATAGGTTTACATGTGAACCACTACATATACAAATCTCTTTTGGTGGTTCGTCGGTGTTGGAAAACGACGCAGAAGAAATCCACGTGACTGACCAACATTTAGCCTCACTTACATACTATGTGCATGCATACATACATTTATCACACGTTTGTTTTGAATAAATATTTTTTTTTCTACCTATAAATTACTAAATCTTATATCAAATGCAAATTTTAATTTAATATATATAA